CAGAAGACAATTACCCCCTAGGGGTCCTCGAGGACAGAGGAAGATTACCTGATAGGGGTCTGATAGGACAGAGGGAGATTACCTGATAGGGGTCCAGTAGGACAGAGGAGGACTAGCCCATAGGGTCTCCAAATCATATAGGTCTTATAGGACAGAGGACTCACCCATAGGGTTTCCAAGGTGTAATCTTTACAAAAACTGACTGCCACATCTTTCTCCCATGTAGCAGGTGCTGGGTTCAAACTGCCAGATTCCTGGTGAGGAGCCAACTGCTTTAATCACTGAATTAGCAGCGCTCCTGTTTTACATGAGCCTTTCAGTTCCCATGGAGATTTATAATCTGGGAAACCCTACCTAGGTTGGAATGAGTCAGAATCAACTCAGTGAGAGTGGGCTTGTTTGGGGCTCACGTGTGTATGCGCACGCGTGAGTGTGTGTAATATACCATTATGTACAGACAGGGATCTAGATGTGTTTCAGATCTGAGAATCTTTAAGATTTGGGGCAGGGAGTGCACCCTCAGCAGGGTCTAAGAAGTACCTTGGAATCAAGCACATTCATGTTTAATTAATTTAATTAATTCAGCCAAAAAGGGGGAAAAATAGAAAACCTATTGCCATCAAGTCAATTCCTACCTGTAGCAAACCTATAGAGTGGAGTCACATTGCCCTATAGGTTCCCCAGGAACCCTGGTGACACAGTGGTTACCAGATGGGCTGCTAACGGTAAGGGCAGCAATTGAAAAGCGCCAACTGCTCTATGGGAGAAAGACTGGGCTTTCCACTCCTGTAAAAGCAGTACAGTCTCAGAAAGTCACAGAGGCAGATCTACCCTTCCTATACGATTCAATTGAATGGCAGTGAGAGTCAGTCTCTCTCTCTCTCTCTCATTCCCTCCCTCCTTCCTTCCATAGGTTCCTAAGGTTGTAATCTTTACAGAAGATACTGTATACTGTTCTCCCTCAGAGCAGCTGGTGGTTTGAACCACTGACCTTAATTTAACCACTTGGGTACATAATCTCATGACTGTAAGTAGCCTAAAGTCAGTGCATTCCGGATTTCTGTATACACGCACAGGTTTCTTTGAGAAACTGGGGGTTGTGGATTTGCAGATAAGGCTCTGGGGACAGTATATGTTTATGTGTGTGCTAAGACATCTGTAAAATGCATTTCCTAGCATGTTCACATGCTGGCATGGTTCTCGAGTGCCCAGAGCCAGCCAACAGAGGGCTCAGGATCTACAGCATCAAAGACTGCTTGGCAGACCGCTCTCTTTGAGATGATGTTGAAACCATGTGCTTTAGAATTTCCTTCAACTCTCCAGTGTACATATAGTGTTTATTCTAAAACAACACTTCCAACTACCCCCACTAAGGACAGCCCCCACATAAGGAGACCCTCCTGCTGACCATGAGTGGGTGAGAGGGTGGGACACGCTCTGGATTCTGCTAGACCTCTTCCCCTGTAGGTCAGGGCACTGCCTCCTTTCACGAAGTCCAATCCGGGAGTTCCTAGACAGGCTGCGAGCTGAGTTCTTTAGGTTGGGCTTGTGGCTGGACCTTCAGCCTGATCCTTGCGACCCCTCCACATTACTTTTCTCCTCCAGACAGGTCTCAGGACACCGATCCCAAGGAACTTAAGTGGCCCCCTATGTTTAAAGCAGACTTGACTCATCAAGAGATCATCTTGTTCCCACCAGTGAAAAGCCAAGAGCCCTCAAGCCAGCTCTGGTTCAGGGCCACTCCTTCTGTGTCAGCCTGGACCCATGTTCCCCAGGGAGGGGGTGTTCAGTGACTGAATTTGGGGCAGTTGGTTGCTAAGCTTGTCCTCCACCATCGCCGTTGGAGAACTCCTGGCTCTTAATCTTTGTCTCCTTCCCTGATTCTGCAACATGAGGATGCAGAGTTGACTGGGGGGGGGCTGGGGGGAGGCGGTGATGGTGGAGGGGGATGGTAAGTAAGTAACTGAGAGAATTTGATTTGGTTGCCAGGGTGACTCAGGGAGGGGAAGAAAGCAGCTCTGGGGAACACCATGTGTTGATGATTTGGGGAGAGAGGCCATTGGTGGTCCCTGTTACCTGAGGAAACCAGGGCGAGCGGGAGGGGCCCCACCACACTGGATCCGTGTAAGTATAATGGAGTCGGGGGTTGGATGGGGAGAAGTGATTGTGAGTCATGTACCTGCAAGGAAGGGGATGGGAGGGAATGTGAGATCACTGAGATTCCTTCCTGCCCAAGACACTGACACTGCAAATGTAGTAGGGAGCACAGGCTGGTGTCCCTAGAAACCAATGTGGGGAGCTGGGGACATCCCCCAAACCTTCCCCTGGCTCCAGGCAGAGGGGAAAGATGGCAACACTTAGTGAAGACCTACTGTGTGTGGCAGGCACTTCCCCGGTTCAGGTGCACATGTGATATTTGGTGCTTGTACCAACACAAGGACTATTTTCCAGATGAAGTTAGGTAAAGGAGGTCCAAGTCACACACCTGGAATGTGGCAAAGCCAGTTGCGTGGCCCTCGGAGCCCCTCACTGCGCCCTGATGTCCACACAGAGAGTCTGGGCTGGCAGCAGGGCAAGGGCAGTAGGAGGGGCCTGTGTGTGTAAAGTCCACGGCCAGCCAGGAGCAGAGAGAGAGTGAGAGGGTAAGAGGAATGGAGGCTTAGACTGGGTGAGAGCTGAGAAACCCTCTGGGTGACTTGTCTGCCTCCTCTCCTTATCTGGCTGTTCTCATGAGCCCTAGTGGCATAGTGGTTATGTGTTGGGCTGCTAACCACAAGGTCAACAGTTTGAAACTACCAGCTGCTCTGCAAGAGAAAGATGAGGCTTAGTACTCCCATAGAGTTATAGTCTTGGAACCCACAGGAGCAGTTCAGTCACTAGTGAGTTTGCATTGGTTTTTTGGTATGTCTCCTACTGTCTCCCCTGTCCCCAAGCCTCAGGTATGATCCATAGAGAGAAGGTGAGCATGCAGGCCAGGCATCCCCTGGGAGATGCCCGGGAAGGAGGTGCCCCCCCCTTTTCCCGGGAAATCCTACCTGGTGTCTCCTGGAATTCGCAGACTCGCTCATGCACCCCCTGCTCAAGTCCTGCTTCCTCTGTAGGTTAACTCAGACTGGGAGGTGCCACCCTCCGCCCAGATCCCAAGAAGAGGAGGAAGGACTACCTGGGTCTGATCCATGGGCTTCGGAGAAGATGATCTCTCGGAGCTTTTCCTTACAGCTCATGGGGCTGTCCAGGTTGGAGGAGGCTTTGCTCCACTTCTGGGGAGGAGAAGCCGATGTCTGAGCTGGGAGGCGAGCTGGGCAGCGAAAGGGGGCCCCGAGGTCCGGTGGCTCCTGCGGATGGCAGCATATGTAAATGTACACGGGGTTTAACCAGCGCAGGTGACTGGGGGGCTCAGCCAGGGGCTAGTGAAGGCGAGTGATGCCGCCTCTCTCGGGGTCCCTGTGCCCAGCCAGAGTACAAGAAGGAGGGCGCTGAGAAGGGGAGAAGCCTTTGTTGTTGACTGACTCTGAGCACCCCATGTAGCAGAGCAGACCAACCTCCCAGGGGGCTCCAGGCTGCTGTCCTTACCACAAGGAAAGAACATGCTAGGCATTTCTCAAGGGGAAAGAAACCATTCCAGCCTCCAAGGGCAAGGTCAAAGGAGTCTATGGGCAAAAGTTGAATGGCTAATGCTGACCAGAAGTGGGTGGCTAGAACCCACGCAGAGAAGCCCTGGAAGAAAGGTCTAGAGTTCTGTTTCTGAACGTCCCAGCCTCGGGAATCTGGGGTCCTCGTGAAGTGGAGCTGACTGGCAACCGATTTGACTTTGGTTTGGGGGTAGGTTGTAGGCAGGTGCGTCCCTGGAGAGATTGCGAGTGGCAGGAGAAGGGAGGACCTGCCTGATTATAACCACTGGTGTGATCAAGGCTGGGCCCCTTCCCATCCCATCTCCCCAAAGCTGCTCAGAGGTTCTCAGAGAACTAGCTCCATTTGGATGGCTGGAGGGTGTGCTCCTCAGGCAGGGCAGAGAGCATTAGGATTGTGTGTTCCTGCTGAGGGATCTTTTTGACCTCCCAGGTCCAGGGTCGACCGAGGCGCCCTGGTGGTCCAGCTATTAAACAAAGGTAGGTTGGTCGAAGATGGAATTTTGAACCCACCCAGGGCTCTGACCTGGCTACCTGCTCTGGTAAAGATGAGCAAGCTGATGGGGCAGGTTATGTGGTCTACATCGCTCCACTCCAAGAAAGTCAAACTCACTGCCATCGAGTCACGGCTACCTCATAGGTCCCTGTGAGCTTCCCAAACTGTAACTCTTTCTACAGGAGTAGAAAGCCCCAGCTGTCTTCCTCAGACTGGCTGCTGGCTTTGAACTACGACCTTGCAGCTCACAGCCTAATGCATAACTCCTACACCACCCAGGGCTCCTGAGATGCTGCTTCACTCTAAAGTCAACATGACTGAAGGTAACCACCACAGCATCAAGTTCAAACTCATTAGCCCAGCCACAGGCTGCCTGACCCACTCACTCCACCTCCTCTGATCTTTGCACTCACCACTCCCTGCCTCCACCTCCACCAGGCACATTCCAGGTGCCGGACTTCCTGGTTCCCTAGCCCCATGCCTTCCTTCACTTGGTTCCTCCACCTGGACCACCTTCATCACCTTCCCGGGCAGGATGGAAGTTGACCCGGCCTTAGAGGCCCAGCTCAAACCCTGGCTGGCGTTCCCCGGTTCTCAGTCCCTACTGTGTGTGGCGCTCTCCTGGCTGCAGTCCTTCTGCGACAGTTCTTGCAGCACCTGTCACCTCCATTGGTCTCCCTCCACTCCCCCAGGCACAAATGGCTAAAATCAGAGGGGTGGAGCCACTAGCCAGTTGCCCACAAGTTGGCCTGACTCTCGAGTCTGAGTAGAATGTTGCTCCGTTGGGCATTCCGTGGGTGACTGTTTCAGAAGTAGGTGGTCAGGCCTTTCTCCAGAAGCACCTCTGGGTGCACTTGAATTTCTGACCTTTCAGCCAGTAGCCGAGCCCATGAAGTGCTTGCCCAGCCCAGGGGCTCCATGGGAGGCCTGACTTAAGACACAAGAGCAGGCAGCCTCCCCAAGACACAGCACGACCCAATGCTCCTCACAAGGAACGAATTCCACTGGGGATGCTGGTCTACTTTGATGAGAAGTTCTTTGAGTCAGAGAGCAGAGAGGACTATGACTCAGAATCCAGACCAAGGAGCTCACTGACCCAAGGTGCTTCAATGATAGCTTTTATTTGTTGCTGCCTTTTGAGAAGAGTCAAAACCAGCACTCACCAATCCAACCCTTTCTACAAATCGGCGTTGATGGTCCTCCTAGAATTCGGCAGCCTCCTTTTGTGAAACCTCACCTTCTTTTTCTGAGTTGTCCCTCCCATATTGACATACACTCACTCTGCCTGAGTTTCCTGTCGGACCTCCTGAGTCACTGTTGACAAGTTAATCCCATAGAGATAGATCTTGAAAGCGCATAATACTCAAGGCAGACTTTTTTCCCCACTTCTTATATGAAACTGTTAGGTTTTAAGAAGACTCCAGGGCATATTTTTAGCTTAAGTTATAAATATGATTTCAGGACGATAGTTTTAAGGTTCATCCAGCCTCCAGGACTCCAAAGAATCTGGATTCCACAGAAAGGTGAAATGATGCTTGCAGTGTTCCCCCCTTGAGTGACTGTATGTCAGACAACTCTATCGAAACCACCAGTCTCTCCCCTGGAGAAAAATGGGGCTTTCTCCTCCCGTAAAGAGTTAAAAGTCTTGGAAATCCACAGGGGCCGTTCTACCCTGTCCTATAGGGTCTCTATGAATTGGCATCACCTCTCAGACAGTAAGTTTGGGTTTTGTTGGCTTTATCATGGTCAGTAGGGGTCAGAATCAACTGACAGCCGCCAACGATGAGCCTCTTTCTTATGAGCATTTCCAGGGTTCCCATGTGGCTCCTTCCCCCAGTGTGGGTTTTATATGAGGAAGGAGGAGAACAGAGGATTGTGAAAAGCCATGGGTCTCAGGGAAAATCTGAATATTTAAGCCGTTCCATCTCCTCGCAGATGAGGATCCATATTTGAGTCCAGTCCCAGAACCCTCAGTCTCATCCCACTCTTGGTCACAAATTGCAGGAACTTTGGGGAAGGCCCTTAGCCTGCCACACTCGTGGCTCCTTGGAAGGCATTAAAAAACTTGCATTCCCCAGGGTATACATTCATGAATAAGACAAAGTTTCTGCTCCCCTGAAGCTCAATTCTAGTGAGAAGAACTGGATAATAAATAAGAAGACATCATAAAAAAACTCATGATCTTTTTTGTTTGGAGGAATGACACAAGACATGCCCTACATTTAAAAGAACAAGGAGGGTAGGTGACCCTAAGGGATTAAAAATCCAAATGTAAAGCCCCAAAGAGAAAAACTTACAACGTCCTGGAAAAACCACCACATAAACTCCCTGCCATGGAGCTGATTCTGACTCATGGTGAGAGGCCCTAGTGACCCGATAGGACAGAGTAGACTGTCCCCTTTGGGTTTCCCAAGCTGTAGACCTTTAGCAGGAGCACACAGCCTTCTTTCTCCTGAAGAGGGGCTGATGGGTTCAAACATCTGACCTTACGGTTAGCAGCCCAAAGTGTACTCCACTACGCCACTTTGACTGTGCAGGTTGAAATGATAAAGTTGAGTTTAGGATGCTGTTGTGGTCAGGTGCCATCGAATCAGTTCTGACCCATAGCGACCCTGTGCACAACAGACCGAAACACCGCCTGGTCCTGCGCCGTCCTCACAGTTGCTCCCATGCCTGAGCCCACTGATGCAGCCACTGTGTCCATCCATCTGCTCAAGGGCCTTCCTCTTTTGCTGCCCCTCCGCTTTACCAAACACGGTGTCCTTCTCCAGGGACTGGTCTCTCCTGACAGCATGTCCAACGTATGGAAGATGAAGTCTTGCCATTCTTGCGTCTAAGGGGCACTCTGGCCTTTCTTCTTCCAACACAGACCAGTTGGCCTTTTTGGCAGTCCGTGGTACTTTCAATATCTTCTCCAGCACCACGAGTCAAATGCATCGATTCTTCTATGGGCTGCCTTAGTCGAGGTCCAGTTCTCACATGCAGATGAAGCAATGGAGGACACCACGGCTTGGTCAGGTGCACCTTAGTCCTCAAAGAAACATCCTTGCTCTTCAATACGTTAAAGAGGTTTTGTGCAGCAGATATATCTAATGTAATATGTCTTTTGATCTCTTGACTGCTGCTTCCATGAACATTGATTATGGCTCCAAGTAAGACAACGTCAAACTTTTCTCCATTTATCATGATGTTACCTGCTGGTCCAGTTGTGAGGATTTGGGTCTTCCCTACATTGAGTTGTCATCCATACGGAAGGCTTCGATCCTTGATCTTCATCGGCAAGTGCTTCAAGTCCTCCTCACTGTCAGGGATCAAAGTTATGTCACCTGCATATGGCAGGTTGTTCATAAGCCTTCCTCCAATCCTGAAGCCTCATTCTTCTTCTTATAATCTTGCTTCTGTGGTGATTTGCTCAGCTCGTGTACAGACTGAACAAATACGATGAGAGGATGTGACCCCGATGCACACCTTTTCCGATTTTAACCCATGCAGTGACTCCTTTGTTGTGTTCGCACAACTGCCTCTGGAGGATCCATGTACAAATTCCAAATGAGCACAATCAAGTGTTCCAGAATTCCCTTTTTTCTCAAGGTAAACCACAGTTCTATTATGGTCCACACAGTGGAATGTCTTTGCATAGTCAATGAAATACAAGTAAACACCTGCCTGGTATTCTCTGCTTTGAGCCAAGGTCTATCTGACTTCAGCAAGAGTACCCCCTTGTTCTACATCCTCTTCTGAATCCATCCTGAACTTCCGGCTCTGTCCTGTCAATGTACTTCTGCAACAGTTGTTGGATGATGTTAAGGAAAATTTTACTTGAGTGTGAATATCAATGGCACTGTTCTATAGTTTGAGCATTCTGTTGGGTCACCTTTGTTTGGAATGGGCACAAATATGGATCTCTTCCAGTCAGTTGACCAAGTAGCTGTCTTCCAAATTTCCTGACATAGACAAGTGAGTACTTCCAGTGCTTCTTCAGCTTTCTGAAACATTTCAATGGATATTTCATCAATTCCTGGAGCCCTGTTGTTGGCTAATACTTTCAGTGCAGTTTGAACGTCTCCCTTCAGCACCATTGGTTCTTGCTCATATGCTACCTCCTGAATTCATGGACTCTCAACTACTTTTTGGTACAGTGACTCTGTATTCTTTCCATCTTTTCTGGTGCTTCCTGCGTCATGTAATATTTTGCCATAGGATCTTATAAAATTTCCATTCAAGGCCTGAATTTTTCTTGACTTCTTTCAGTCTCAGATATGCTGAGCGTGTCCTTCCTTCCCTTTGGGTTTTCTAAGTTCTTGCACATGGTGTTTTAATATTTGGCTTTATCTTTTCCAGCTGCCCTCTGAACTTTTCTATTTAGCTCCTTGACTTCATCCTTTCTTCCAGTTGCTTTAGCTGTTCTATGATTGATAGCAAGTTTCAGAGTCTCTTCTGACGTCCACGTTGATCTTTTCTTTCTTTTCCGTCTTTTAATGGCCTTTGCTTTCTTCGTGAATGATGATCTTGATGTCCTCCCACCGCTCATCAGGTCTCTATCATCAGTGTCCACGGAGTCAAATGTGCCCTTGAGATGTTCCCAGAAT